AAACTACAAGAGCATTCATCCCTTCATGCCTGGTCTTCTGGTGGTGAGCTTCCCTGCACTTAGCTTGACTAGGCCTCAAATAGTTTATGCGAAGTTTGTCTCCAGGCCTGTACTTTCTAGTTTGATAGAACCTTCCAGATTTCATTCCCACTGACCATAGCTTTTAGGAACTAAGATCACTATTTCACCATAATGCCCAGGAGTAAAAATTGAGTGGTAGAACATGAAAAATATGGTAAACTTTTTTCATTAAGTGACACACAGCATAGCATCTAGGGAATTAGCTTCATCTAGCTCATAAACTTATTGATTGGCAGTAGCTACTGATTAATCTAATCCCAATAAATCCTGGAGGATTATCCTATCCCTTCCAAAGTATAAGAAGAGAGAAGATACAAGTGTTTCTAATTCTACATGATCTCTGGTGACTACTCAAAATGTCACCCATCTTCATCAAGTACTTTATCCCATTAGCTCTCATCTCTGTTCCTCCTTGTTGCCTACAAAGCCTGCTGCCATGCTTGGCTAATTCTGAAAAGGCATTTTGAAAGATGAGGAAGAAAACAAGGATATTATTATGAGATCCCTGGGTTCTTTCTCAGCCAGTGGAATAGACCACATAGATACAAGATGGCATTGCAGATGGTACCATTCACACATATATGTGGTTGAGTAGCAAGGGATAATAGTTTGGCACTGAATGGTCAACACATAGAGGCCAATCTGTGATTGAAAATTTGCTTCATGTAGCCTACAAATCAGCCAGCCTGGGAACAAGTAATTGAAAGTTGAATCTATGTAGCCTCAGAAATTAAATTATACCCATTAAAAATAATTGTAAACAGGATATATATTTAATGAAGTCATAATAATTCCTACAGCATGAGAATTCTGGCATTGTTATAATAATAATAATAATAATAATAATAACTGCAATTTATATAGAATAATTTTCTGATACTTTAGAAGTATTATTCTTTTTTCACAAAGAAGGAAACTCAAGACAACTGAAGTTAGATAATTTTTCTGTAGTGACATAGATAGTTAATGATAGAAGTGAATACTGAGCCCAGTTTTTGAACTCAGTAAAGAGTTCTTTCCATTACATTGCCTTCTCTCAATAATCAATCAACTAGTAATCATTGATTAAGGATCTATTATATGCCAGGCATTGTTCTAGGTGGTATATATTCAAAGACAAAAATGAAATGATCCCTATGTCATGGAGTGCCTATTCTATATTCAAGTTATTCTACTTTTTTGTTCACCAGTTTTCTCCATCTGTGGTATTGTTGGTTCACATAACATGTGGGAGAAACAGTTAAAATATAAAGATTAAAGTAAAAATAGAACTACATATGACCTTGAATGTGTGTACTCTGTTGTACCTTCTCAATAATGCTGCATATTTATGCTATGATATTCTTAGTAAGTCATATTACAGCATTCTTAGCATTCTGCAATATACCCACTAAAGTTGAGATTTGTACACCTGAAAGTGTCATTTTTTTGAGTTTCAATAATTAGCAGAAATATGATTTGAACCCTCATTTCCTGATGCTCAGTCTCTGAATTCTGGGATTCATTTGAGGGCTTTACTCATAATGCTTATTTGGGTCATTTCAAGATTTGGAACAGCTTTACAAAGTAATCTAATACAAAGTAAACCTGAATAGAAAAAATAAATAAATGAACAACAACCATTTAAAATCTTCCTGTTCAGTGAACACCCAAACTCTACCTAAATACCTCTAGTAATGGGGATTTAATAATCCCTCCACCCCGTTCTAATTCAAAGACAGCTATAATTGTTAGGATTTTTTCCCCATTCTATTGAGCCTAAAATTGCCTCTACATAACTTCCACTTTTCTCAATCCTGCCTTGTAATGTTTGGCAAAATAAGGCTAACCTTTCTTTGAATTAACATTTTTTTAATATTAAAAATAGCTTTCCAAGTCAGAGGTCCTTGTTCATTAATAATCATCACTAGAAACATATACATTGATAAAACTGAAGCCTTGGCAGTCTCCTGCTGTTCATAGCCAGAATGTGACATTATTGAAAGCTACCATTTAATGAAGAGTCAACAAGCATTTATTAAGAACTGCCTATATGTTGTGAACTGCATTAGCATTGCTCTCATTTTGAAAACTTTTTTTAAAATTAAAAAAGAATACTTAAAGGATTCAATGGTAGGTAAAATAAAAGACATCAAAAATAAATTAAAAAATACCCTGTTTAGTTAGGGTAAAAGGGATTCCTTTATAGAAATAAGAATTTTCGGGGAAACTAGGGGGTGCAGTAGATAGAGCTATGGCCTTGGAGTCAAGAAGACCTGAGTTCAAATCCAGCCTCAGACACTTGACACTTACTAGCTGTCTGACCCTGGGCAAGTCACTTAATCCCCATTGCCTCACCAAAAAAAAAAAAAAGAATTTTCTTCTATATTTTGAAGATCTATGATTTTGCCATTCAAGCAACAAAACATATTAGCTCTTGATAAATGAAATGTGTTCATTGTTATGGCTGGAAAAATACATCACTTTATGCCCAAACTGGTTATAATCCATCCTAAATATAGTTAGACTGTTCCTCAGATCCTAGTAAGAAAAAAGAAAACACTTCTATTTATATAGTACCCTAAGGTTTGCAAAGCACTTTATATGTCAAATCCTTTGATCCTTAAAATGCTGTAAGATGGTGCTATATTTACAGATGAAGAAATTAAGACCGAGATATATTATGTTATTTTCCTGTGGTCACATAACTAATAAGCAGTTGAAAGCAGGTTTCAAACTTGGGTCTTCTTGACTTTGAGGTCTATTGTTGTATCCACTATGTCACCCAACTGCTTGTCTGTCATAGCACTAATGTTTCTCCATAACTCTTAAGAATTAAAGGAGTAAATGGTGACAAAAACTAAAATCAAAGTCACAACTAGCCAAACCTGTCTATTTGAAATGAACTATTGAACCTGCTTTCAGTTTCCCTCCTCTGTGAATGATGTTTGGTATGGGTAACAAGCATATAGAAAAATCCTTTTCTAAATGTAGAAGATGAAAGGATTAGCCTATGTTCTCTCCAAGCTGCAGCCTTCAAACCTCAAAAGATATGTGTTATCATTGTGTGGGTCAAGTGCATCCTCAACCAATAAAAATAATAGCTCTTCCATGAACCAGTGCTGATTTTTGTTAATTTCTATGAGCAAATAGATCAGCTGTGGCAATTCTTCTGGTGATAGGTCTCTTTGGACTTAGCTGTGCTGGTCCTGACATGATAGCTACATAGTTGAGCCCTGGAGCTATACTCAAAATCTTTCCAATTTGTTTTCTACTTATAGTCTTTGTGACCCAGGATAATCCCAAAACCACAATGAGATATTGGAATAATATTTTGTTATTGGATCAGGTGCCTTCCATTTCCATAAGTCAGAAATTGGCTTCTGTATAGTCAGATCTTTACTCTCTCTCTGCCTCCACTCCAACTTCAGCACAACTGCCAGACTAACATAGTTGCTATGTAAATGTGTGTGTGTGTGTGTGTGTGTATATATATACATATATATATGTATATATATACACACACATATATAATGTGTGTTTTTGTATATATATGAACACATACACATACATATATACACAAACATGTGTATACACACATGCATATCTATGTATATAATAGCATCGTGTCATTCTTCTACTCAAAAATGTTCAGCAGTTACCTTTTTCTGAGTAAAATTCAGTTTCCTTAGCCTGCAATGCATGACTTTCAACAATATGGCACCACCGTACCAATCCAGGCTGATTTCATATTGCTCCCTTTTCTAGCAAACTGGGAATCCTCTCTACTCCCCAAATATGCCCTCTGTTTTCATGCCTTTGTATCTTTCTTCCTTCCCCAAATTGACCTATTGAATTTAAATCTTGACTTCATGATTTGGAAGGGATTTGGAGGCCCTCTACCTTGACCCTCTCCTTTTATAGATGAGGTCATGAAGTAGTAAAAGAAGTAAAGTGATATCTAAGATCAGAAAGCTGGTGAGTGGGAAAGATGAGATTTGAACCCATTTCAACCTGAGTCCAAATGCAACACTCAACTCCATATTCTTCCATCTCCATTAAGCCTTCTCTCATTCCTCCAGTTGGTAAAAATCTTTCTATTCTCAGATATTTGCATATGTATAGGACTGGGTGTTGGTGTTTTTTTTCCCCCTTCCTGGAAATGCAATTTATGTTTCAGTGCATCAAATACAATGGTGTCATTACTGAATCTGAAAGCAGCTCAAGGATTCTTGTTGGCTTCTGAAAGTCCAGTGACCAGTAATTCTAATTTGGTCATTCACTGAAGGCATAAAACATGAGATTAAAATACCCTTTTTGCTAAAGATTACTTTGAACTTCAAAATCCTAAATTGATATAATATTTTGGCAGCCATTCTGGATGCAAGATTAAAATAATTGGCCATTATTGAGATCAAAGTAACATGACTCATTAAATAGTAACAGGAATCATGCAGTTCTGTAACATGCAATTTGTAAATGAAGCCTTTAGCTTTTCAAACTATTTCAGCAGAATTCAGACAATGCTCATTAAAACATATTACTAAGCAATAAGATTACCCTGAAAAGAAGAACAAAACCAACTATTGCATTTGGATAGATTAAGGAAGTTTAAAAATATAGGATTATAGAGTATAAAACAGACAGATGAATACTTTGGAAAGTAATTTGTTTCCTTGATTAGACCTAAGTGATTCAGGTAAAAGGTCAAGTCACATAACATTACAGTCTTTGTTAACTGGAAGAATAAAGTGTTGTTACTGAGTAATTGTTATGTTTTAGGTCCCTGTATAATATTCACCAATTTATTTTTATCTTTGCAGTAGAAAAAGGAATCTTTGACATGGATGGCATTCTAAACCAAATTTATGACAAAAGGAAAAATTCTGCTCTATAGTCAGGTCTTGTCTATGCTGTAATCACTCTTTCTCTTTTGGTAGGTGGCATGCATGCAGTGGTTGCATGGAGACCATACAATGATGGAGATGATTGAGAAAAAACGCTGTTTGTGCAAAGAGATCAAGGCAAGACAAAAAACAGAAAAGGGACTTTGCAAACAAGACAGCATGCCAATTCTACCAAGCTGGAAGAAGAATACAGGGACAAAGAAGTACAGTCCTCCACCATATTCTAAACAACAAACAGTATTTTGGGATACTGCAATATGACAAAGTATGAGAGGCTGCAAGCTCCACAAGACTATTATTTCACTTGTATGGGGAGGGGGATGTTCACCAAACCTGTTTAAGAGGGTGTTGGTTGACATACATCTTCTTTACTTGTGATAAAATGGCAACATTGCCCTTGGAAATCCATGTTAAGTTGTGCTTACTTAAAATAAGTCCAAGGCAAATTAACTTTACCAACAATTAAAATATGTGTGTTTATTAAGGATTTTTTTTAATCCAAAAAAATTAAAATGTAAATATTTTGCTAGTCTATTGAAAGAAAACACCTGAAATAGTACACATATATACATATATAATTTACAGAGGTATCAAGAGTTTTACTAGATAATGTATTAAACAATTTATTTTCCATTATCTATGTAATCCCCAATTTGTTTTCTTTTCCTTACCCACCTAAATTTGTCTTCTGTACAAAAGCATGTGAGTATAAATCATTGTTCAGCAGTATAATATATGAATAAATCTGGTGCTGGGATGGTAGAAGTTGAATATCACCATATTCATTAGGCACATCTGTTACTTTTAATTTTTATTAAAACTTGACAGGAAATTAATGCAAATGTAGCACCTAATTTGGATGTCCACATCACATTAAAACCAATCTCTTTTGCTACATTAGTTTTTAAGGAGCTTATCTTATATATCCTCTTGTTTATATTAAATAATGGTTAGTCAACTCTCCAGAGATAGTTATTCAGATATACTTGGCTAACCTAGTAGAATAACTTGACTTTAGAAATGTCTGTAGGGATACACTTCCTTGCATTGTTGATTTTATTAGTGGAGACCAGGGTTCACTGTGACTATGAAAAGGGATATCAGAATCTGAAGAATAATACTGTTTTCTAGAAGTTTTTTTTAAAACCATGGCAGTGTAGCCACAATTCCTGACAAATAGAAGAATGAAGGGTAGGAGGATTTGTATTTTTATTTTATTTTTGGCTGATGGAAAAAAATGAAATTATGAAAGTCATTCAAGATTTGTTTACATTACTTTTTTTGTGTATGTGTATGTGTGCGTATATACTCAACTGTTTCTCAGATTAGGTACAGTTAAGATAAAAATCACATTTCTCCAGAATCATCAATAATTTTAAGATGTTTAGGTCAAAGTTGTCCATGCAGAATTTCCCTTTGTAACAAATTATGATACCATGACCACAACCAAAGAATTGTGACTTTTATTTTATTGTTTCTATTTGTTTAAAAAAAATGGGATGGGGATAGGGATGGGTCCAATTGTATATGACAGTGAGATTTGTGTTAAGAGCTATATATCTTCCAAAAACAAATTAGCAAAAATATGAATATTGCCACGGATAAATGAAAAGTAAATAATCACATATATTTTGTATATTTAAATGACTATGCTTCTTAAATTTGACAGCATGAACATTCTACTTTAACAATCACTTTAGTATTCTTTGAAAAAAAGCATTTTATGACATCATTGTCATATTGGCTTTCCTTTCTAAAGATATTGACAGCAATGCTACAGTGCTTGTCAATAAAACCAAATATAACAGAATTTCATAGTTTTTTGTAATCTATATTGCTAAACTTTAATTAATGCTTTATCAGTGTAGTTCCTTTCAAGCCTTTGAGATATTTTAAAGATAATTTTAATAATTTATAGATAATGTATATTTTGATGTCCAAACTCAGAATTCTGTAGAAGATAAGGAAAAAGGTAAGTGTTTGTATATACATGTGTGAGTGAATATGCAGGAAATATTTGCAAAGCAAATTAAGAGTAAGAGGATTTTCAATAATGGGGGTGGGAGAATAAAATAGAACCAAAATTATAGGAAGTTATGAAAAGGTCTTTATCACTTCAAAATAATTCCTGTCCCTAAAATTCACCAGCTGTATGTTGTTTCAAATCCAACCACTACTGGCTTATAAAAATGAAAACTTGTATTTGATTTAAAGAAAATGTTTATAATCTTAGTTATTTTCTGTTTATTTAAGTAAATCTTTGCTATCTATTTAATTAAATCTACCAGAGAGATTCAACCAAGTCAAGCTCAAGAGATGTAGTTCTCCTTTAAGGGTATATTTAGGGCCAATGTAGTAACCTTGCCATAACCTTGAAATTTACATTGAGGAAATGGCTTTTAAAGAGGATATTAATGTGCTTGTCACTTCTTGTCTAACCTCTTTTAACTAAGAAGGAGACCTGATATTAAATATACAACTTAACAGATGGGTAACTCAATTTGATGGATATAGTGTTGTATCCACCAACATCTGATTATCCTGCATAACTTTTCCAGTTTCTTAGGTTAGGACACATATTTCCATGTAATTTCTCCCAAGCCCAATCCAAATATGATACAATTGGGCAGTATAGAAAAGTGACATCACTGTGATTTAAATCCTGATGATACTTTCAGTATATGTCTATGAAATTGTTGATTGCATATATCTAATCAAATCCAATGAACATTTATTAAGCAATCAATATATGCAATATGCAAAGCACTGTGGTGGGTGCCAAAGTAAAAAAAAAAGAACCCTACCCTCATTAATCTTACTTTGGAATAGGAATGAATTTGCATAAGAAAAGCCTTCATTAACTGGTTTGCTTACTACAAAAAAATATTTCCCTCTTCTCTCATTATTTCTTTACCTGGACAAGTTAAATTGGGAAGACAACCTCTTGAGAACCAGAAAGAAGACAAGTTGTGGATCTGATTGGATTATCTGATTAGTAAAACACCAACATTTCCAAACAGTTGGATTGATTAGTTATTAGCTATTGGTTATCTTCCTGGCCAAATCAGGCATGACATGGTCATCAGGTTGCTTTGCTATGGTTGACTGGTTCAGCTCCAAGGTCAAGAAATGACCTCAGTGGTAGTCAGAGAGATGGATTTTCTGCATACAGATTGCCTCAATAGAAATAAAATAAAGTTTCTGAAGGGAAAATGAGAAAATGGAAAAAAAAGGAACCCAGATTCAACATGAGAATCTTATCAACTTTACGTAAAACAAAACAAAAGAAAACAAAATATATCAGTGTATTTCCTGGCATAGAGTTTCTTTGTTGTCATATAACTGTAGGCCTCCATCTATTCCCATGTAGATATAACTGAAACAAGTATGAAATAATCAGTGATCTCTGGCACTAGTTAAGATCTGCATTTGCAAAACTGACATATAACCCACCACTAAAATTTTTAAGTGGATAACAATAGATATCATTGTGCTCAGTCAAATAACTATTTTACTTAGGAGATGAACTTAATCAAACAGGGTCCTGTGCATCCTAAGCATCCCAGAAATCTTTCTGGACTTAATAAATGGTGACATGGCTAAATTATACCTTTTTAAAATCAGTTCTCTGTCTAGACTCAGCTATACTCAGGTAGTAAGTGGAAGATTCCTTCAAGGATCCCATATTGTTCAGTAGCATGCTATTAATGTTTAGCTTAGGCTGTGTCTATATGCCTAAATTAGATGGAGAGTTTTAATTTACTTCAATAATCTTGAGTGAAAATAGTTGAAGCAGTTGTCTGGCAAGTGTGTCTAGTTGAGTCAGAAGTCAATATGTGTATACAGATAAGCTTAGCATCATCCATATGCTAATAAGAGGAAGGGGGAGGTATTCAGTGGCCTCAGATAGAATGCCATCAGTGCATGCCATCAGAGTGCTTAATTCATGTCCTTCTTTATATATTTGCATATGAAATGCAGAAAATGCCAATAGCTTATAATACAAAGACCAATTCATTCTTACAAATACATATTTAAGCTAGTCAGGCAACAGAATGCTTTGACCAACTCATCCTGTCTACTTACAGTCAATGGAAATACATTCAACCAATGACATAGTCATTTTTGACCTGTCCATTCTAAGTGGAAGACTGTCTTCCCCATCTTCATATGCCCTATCATGCCCAGTACAATGCCTTGCACAAAGGATGCACTGGATAATTATTTGCTGCATCAGATTTAATTGAATTGCATTGGATGAGAGGGCAAGTTGGTATTTGCAGAACTGGGGCAATTAATGAGATAATCGCTAACATTCCCAAGTTGAAATTGTGATATTACAAACAAAAGAGGATTGTTTAAACAAATGATGTTTGATATTTGTATATATATACCTTCTATTTAATGCTTTCCAGATCAAGTAGATAATCAAAACAAATGACTGGAATGCATTAAAGTTCATTTACAAACACACAATGTCTGTTTATATGTAAGCATCTTCAGGCACACATACAGTATGCCAATGGAATTATGTAAATCAATAATGGGCTGACAGGTTTTGCAATGTGAGGAACTGCTCTTGAACTCAGTGACTTGAGGATTGGACTGAATTGAAAACAGTTTGGTGTTTGGATCAACGTCTTCTTGGCAAATAGGTATATTGAAGGGATAAAGAAACAACTGATAGAATTTCCCTTTAAACTTCAAATTTAGGAATGAACATGCTTAGAGGAATATAGTTGGGGTTGGCTCCAACAAAAAGATATTTGAACAGTCTTTTGAGGTGTTTGATGACCTCCCTATTGAATTGGGTTTCCTCATCCCTAATGTATCTGCATTGACACATGTATGCACCCACATACAGTATATATACTGTATATATTTATAAAATGTTTAGTATGCACTTCTTTTGTTTGGAACTCTTGGAGTTAACCTTTCTAGTGTAGCAATTTGTGTAAAGTGCACTGTGATGACAAGAAAGCACAGTCAAATCACAGGTCTTGTTATTCTTGCACTAAAAAAATGTGTTTACGTATTTAGCCACTGTATGTTTACTTTATCACTCTTTTTGAAAAATTTAAAAGAATAGCTACTAAGCAAATGATATAAGATAGTATGTTTTTTAGTGGATAATGGCACTACATTTTTAAAAGACAGGGTTTTTAAAAGAGAAGAAACCATTTTAATTCCATTTCGTTCTAATGTAACATGTTTACGAATATCTTAATAACTGAATGTTCTATTGCTTTCTTCATGAGTCATTAGAAGTGTCAGGTCTGTGCCTGAAAATATGTGCAAAGGAAGAGTAGGTAGCAGATTTCTGTACTCATGTATTTCTTAACTATTTCTACATACACAGTCTACACACAGATATCATTTCTTTTCATTTTTGTACTTGATTTTTTAAGTGATATGTAACTATAAATGTACTTTGATACTTCTGAAGTAACAATATGTTGTTTGGGGGAAAAATGTTTTGATTTCCTTAGTGCATTGAAAATATTTTGCAATCCTTTTGTGCTTACTGATTTGTGATCCTGTGTAATTATAATAAAAGCAATAGTTTAAAATAACTAGCCTTGATATTGTATGATTGATAGTAAATTTGTATGTCCATATTGCATGGAATTTCCATGGCCTGTGTTTTTTTTTTCAGAGGAGAGAGGAAAGAAGGAAGAAGATAAGTATAGATTTTCTCAAGGTATGTCACAGTATGTGATGTTGTATGTGGTCTTTTCATACATCAAGGGGCATACTTGAAACAAAGAACTACTTTGGAGCCACTGAATTCACATTACCTTTCTTCCGGGGTGGGAGGTGGGTGTGGTCATTAAAATAAAAAGGAATTTCACATTCCTTTCTTGCAGAGTTTTGGCCTCAAAACAACCTTCCAGCAGTCATGAACCTAGGCAATCAAAGAAACGAAAGCTCTGAGGTATGCTGATATAAAATTCTTACGGCTAGTAGGATCAGGCCTCTTTACTGAGAAATTAAATTTGGGCTTTTGTAGACATCTAAGATATATAGCAAATAGCAAGCATGTACTTAGTGTCTGTTATGTGAAAAGCCTAGGTTGGCTGTTAGGGTCAGATAGGGTCAGAAGACAGGGTCAGAACAATAGTTATGGTGAGCTCTTGAGACTTTTCCCCAGGGTTCTGAAATTTAGAGGGAGGATTACAATACTTTAATAAGGTTTGTGTTAATGATTAGTTAAAATGGTAAATTGCCATAAGGCAAGTTCTTTCCCCAGTGACCACATCCCAGAAAAGATTCTACCATGAGGTCCCGTCATATCCTCTCCCCTTTAAACAGTGTCCCTCTCTGATGAGCAACAGAAACAAGTATCCTGAGGACTTTGCCTCTTCCACATGGAATTTCTCTTTCCACAGGTCCCAGATCTTAGGTATCTTCTTGAGGTCCACACCCCAACTGAATTAAGCTTAAATTTTTATTTGGAGACATCTCCCATGTTGTGTACTTAAGGCTCATTTTGGGGTTCTTGGCTTTCAGAACTGCTGTGTGTTAGCATGGGGTTATAAATTCATATGACATAATAGCTGTCCACAGCTTACAAAAGAATACCATTTAGTTCACCATCTAATATTTAATTTTCGTTTTCTAGTTTTCTCTTACCAAGTCCTTCACAAACCACTTACATTTTCTTCTACGCAAATTTTTTTTCTAAAAGCTTTTATCCTATTTACAGAGATCTCCCACAATTATTGAATATTAAAACAACCTCTCAAAATCTTCAGCACTGTTTTCAATATTTCCTCTATTCTTCCATATTTAGTATCCTCATGGTAGCCCAAGGACTGCCGCATAGCATGTGCATGTGAGCACAGACACACAGACACACACACATACACACACACATGCAAATATACACAGAACCACATTGGCTTATTCTCTCCTAAAGTAATTTATTCTCTAAATTACATCTTCACCACTCCATCCATTAAAATTATTATCCTCCAAGTATATTTTTCTTTGTCTTAGTAGGAAATCAAACTGACTAGAATAAATTTAAATTAAGATAGGAATGTACAACGTTTCCAGGGCTCTTTTCACTTTATTTTTAAAAAAAAAATGAGTACCAAATTCTCTCCCTCCCTTCCTCCCCCTTCATTGAGAAGGCAAACAATTTGACTCAGGTTATACATATACAGTTGTGCAAAACACATTTCCATATTAGCCATGAAAAATAAAGTTAAAAAAAGTATGATTCAATCTGCATTTATAATGCATCAGTTCTTTCTCTGGAGATGGATAGCATTTTTTCTTCAACTCCTTAGGAATTGTCTTGGATCATTTTATTGCTGAGAATAGTTAAGTTATTTGTAATTGATCATAGTACAATATTGCAGTTACTGTGTATGATGTTCTCCTGGTTTTGCTCACTTCACTTTGCATCAGTTCATATGACTCTTTCCATGTTTTTTGAGAGCTTCCTGCTCATTATTTCTTATAACTCAATAATATCCCATAACAATTATATACCATAAATTGTTCAGCAATTTTTCCATTGATGGGCATCCTCTCAATTTCCAATTCTTTGTCACCACTAAAAGATCTGCTGTAAATGTTTTGTACCTCTAGTTTCTTTTCTTTATTATATCTCTTTGGGATACAGACCTAGTAGTGTTTTGCTTGGTCAAAGGGTACTTGTGGTTTTATAGGCCTTTGGACATAGTTCCAAATTGCTCACCAGAATAGCTGCATCAGTTCACAACTCCACCAACAATGCATTAGTGTCTCAGTTTCCCCACATCTCCTCCAACATTTGCCATTTTCCTTTTCTGTCATATTAGCCAATCTGACAGATGTGAGATAGTATCTTAGAGTTGTTTTAATTTGCATTTCTCTAATCAAAACTAATTGAAGCATCTTTTCACATGACTATAGATAGATTTAATTATTTTGCCTGAAATCTGTCTGTTCATATTCTATAACCATTTATTAATTGAGGAATGGCTCTTATTTTTATAAATTTGACTCCATTCTCTATATATTTAAGAAATGAGGCTTTATTGCAATTTTTTTTTCACAATTATAATTACTGTGTATTTCCCTCCATCCTATTTCCTCCCTGTTTATCCAACTCTCACCTTTCACCTTGTCTATCCTCAAGTGTTTTGCATCTGATTACTGCCTCCTCCAATATGCCCATTCTTCTATCAGTCACCTTTTCTCTTATCTTCTTTTATTTCCTGTCTTATTTCCATAAGGTAAGATTTCTATACTCAACTGAGTGTGGTTGTTATTCACTCTTTGAGCCAGTTCTGATGAGAATAAGGTTTAAGTGCTCCTGCCTACCTCCTCCATCTTTCCCTCCATTATAAAAGCTCTTTTATACCTCTTTCATGTGAGATAGTTTACCTCATTCTATCTCTCCTTTCCCCCTTTCTCCAGTGAATTCCTCTTTCTCACTCCCCCCAATTTATTATTGTCTAAGATATCATCCCATCATATTCAAGTCACACTAATGCCCTCTGTTTATATATAATCATTTTAACTATCTGAATAATGAGGAACGTCTTAGGAGTTGCAAGTATCATCTCCCTAGGAATGTAAACATTATTATGTTTTTTAGCTAATAGTATTTTTCCCAATTACATATAAATTTAGTTTTCAACATTCATCTTTGTAAGATTTTGAGCTCCAAATTTTTCTCCCTCCCTCCCTTCCCTGCCCCCTCCCAAAGATGGCAAGCAATCTGATATAGGTTATACATATACAATGATATTAAACATATTTCCACATTAGTCATGCTATGAAAGGAGACTCAGAATAAAAGGTAAAAACCATACCAAAAAAAAGTGAAAATACTACACTTCGATCTGCGTTCAGGCTTCATAGTTCTTTCTCTGGATGTAATCAGCATTTTCCATCATGAGTCCCTTGGGATTGTCTTGGATCATTACATTTCTGAGATCTAAGTCTATCGCAGTTAATCATTGAACAATGTTGCTGCTACTGTGTACAATTTTCTGGTTCTGCTCACTTTCATTACAACTTTCTGGTTCTCACTCAGCATCAATTCATAAACAGTTTAATCTTATTGAATACTTTATGATTTCTCTTTCTTGTTTACCTTTTTATTTTTCTCTTGAGTCTTGTATATGAAAGTCAGATTTTCTAGAGGCAGAGCCAAGATGGCAAAGAAAAGCCAGGAAGTTGCCTGAGCTCTCCTAAACTTCCCTCAGAAACAATATTAAATTAAACCTCTAAACACATTCTGGAGCTACAGAAGCTACAAAAAGATGGAGTGAAACAGTTTTCCTGATTAAAATACCTTAGAAGGAGTTCAGGAAAGGTCTGTCTCACTTAGATAAAAGGGGAGAACAGCTCACTGCAACTGGTGTCCAGGCAAGCCAACAGGAGGCTTTTAGGCATAGCACAGATCAGTAACTGAGGCCCCACAGTCATGGCTCAGCAGCCAGTGCCACAGCAGGCCAGGTGGGGGACTTCTAGTCCTAACACAGAAGGCAAACTGTCAGCCCCAGAACTCAGGGCACAACAGGCATGACTAGGTCAGGCCATCCCAGTGCAAGCTGGCAGCTGTTGAAGTCCTGGAGCAGATAGTCATTGGCCAGGCCCATAGCCCCCAGCACAAGAAGCTTGGGACAATGTCCCCAGTAACTCTGCATCAGAGTTCAACTTCTAAAGTCATGAAATAGACTAGAAAATGAGCAAAAAAAACCCCCAAAAAAACAAAAAAAGAAAAGCAAACTCCCAAACAACAACAACAACAACAACAACAACAACAACAACAAAAGAGCCATATGGCAACAAGGAAGATGAAAACACAACTCAAAAGGGGGCAACAATGTCAAAATGCCTACATGCAAAACCTCAAAGTAAAATATGAATTGGTCTCAAGCCCAAAACAGTCCTCTTAGAAAAGCTTAGAAATATTTTACAAATCAAATAAGAGAGGTAGGAGAAAAATTGGGAAAATAAATGAGAGTCATGCAAGAGACAGTCGATAGCTTGGAAAAGGAAAAAAAAAAGACTAAATAAAACTGTTCCTGAAAAAAAAAAAGAATTGGCCAAATGGTGAAGAATCCAGTGAAGAAAACAATTGCTTGAAAAATAGAACTGCCCAAATGGAAAAAGAGGTACAAAAGCTAACTGAAGAAATTATTTACTTAAAAATTAGAATTGGGCAAGTGGAAGTTCAATGACTCCATGAGACAAGAATCAGTCAAATAAAATCAAAAGACTGAAAAAAAGAAGAAAATGTAAAATGCCTCATTTGAAAAACAACTGACCTGGAAAATAGATCCAGGAGAGATAATTTAAGAATTATTGACTATCTGAAAGCCATGATCAAAAAAAAAAAAAAAAAGAGCCTGGACAACATCTTTCTAAGCTCTTTTTTTTTTTTTGATCATGACTTTCAGATATTCCAATAATTTTTGAATCATCTCTCCTCGACCTATTTTCCAGGTCAGTTATTTTTCCAATGAGATATTTCACCTTGTTCTCTATTTTTTCATTCTCTTGGTTTTGTTTTACAGTGTCTTGATTTCTCATAAAGTCATATAGTCCATTCTAATTTTTTTTTTGG